GAACCTCCCCACCCCCCACTCCCCAGGGGTTTATATTTTATTTTTCTCTTTGGCTTTCTTTTGTTCTTTGGTCACTCTATGCTTTCATGATGCGTTATATTTGCCCACGAGGACTCAGTTCTAGGAACCATAGAACAAAGTCTCCCTCTAGGATGTTGCCTGATTTATTGGAAAGGAAGGGACATGCCCCAGGCTGCCAAACGTTTCCTCTGGCTTCCTTCCTCATTTGGCCCTTACCACGAGAGCCACCTGAGCCCAGACCTCGGAGAGGAGAGGCGCTGTGCCCTCCCACCCTCCTCTTTCCCTTCCCAAGACCTGTTTCTTCTCTGATCCTGGGGAGCCTACTCTGCCTTCTGGAAGGAGACGTGCTGGCAAGAATAACTGTTGTCCATTCACCTTGGACGGCTTCCCCGCCAGCCAGACTCACTTCATCTTCACCCTTGGGAGCTGAAGAAAGAAAAGTGCCTGTACCTGGAAGTTGGCACTTCCCCATGGGTTTTCCCAGGCTGACCAGTGGCCCATTCCATACTCTACTTGGCTCCAAGCCTGGCGCCTGACCCAACCAGAGCCGGTTTCTGTTCTCTGTTGTCATTACCTGAAGCAGCTCACCTGTGTCCTTCCCTAGTACCTATTCATCTCTCTAGCCACCCACCTGCCCAGCCACCTCCCTGCGTGCCCTCAAACTTACCTGGTCTACATAACCACCTACCAGTGTCTACTTATCAATCCATCAATTTATATCTGTTATCCACTTATACATACTTACCAATCTATTTATCTAACCATTTATAGTTTTATGTATCAACTTATTTACCTGCCTTCCTACCAACTCATCTGCTTGTGTATTTACCGACTAATAGGCCTGCATTCTCATGCACATTCCTACCTGCCTAATTTAGATACATACCAGTTTTATTGTATCTATTCACCTACTTCTCTAGTCACCTTTCCCTTCCTTCCTTATACATCTTCCCTCCTTTTTTTTTTTTAAAGATTGTATTTATTTATTTGACAGAGAGAGAGAGCCCATAAACAAGCAGAGTAGCAGGCAGAGGGAAAGGGAGAAGGAGGCTCCCCGCTGAGCAAGGAACTGGATGTGGGACTTGATCCCAGAACCCTGGGATCATGACCTGAGCCGAAGGCAGTGGCTTAACCGACTGAGCCACCCAGGTGCCCCTCTTCCCTCCTCTTTAATCATTGTCTTAGCACCTGCTAGGGATTATGGTGGTCACCAAAGAGCATAAGAAAGGGCACTTACAACCTAGGGAGAGGGGACCCTTCACCATTGGGCACTTGAGTCTGCCTTGATCATACCAATCCAAACTCCGTTCCTTCACTCAAGCAATCTTGGAGTAGTGTGAATTTTAAATAAGAAAATAAAACTGTGAGTCCCAGACAGTAGCAACCTCATGATCTAATCAGAAGTAACAGAGTCTCTACTTAATGAAATGGGAAGTTCACAGATGCATTGCCAAATACATGGCAACAAGTTTTCTAAAAATGAGTAAAGCATAAGATTGATGTTACCTGGAAGGGTGCTGAAAGCAAGAGCTCCGGCCTTGAAGGAGGGCTAAACTAGAGAAGACAGGAGCTTAGCCCTGCATGAGCAGAGGTACCCACGTAGGGCAAGCAGGTCTTTTTGAGGAGACTACAGCAAGGGATGACAAGCCCACTCAGAAGTTGTTCCCCTCATGTCCTCCCCTTGGGGCTTGGCAGGGGACCCTGGCAGGCAATTTTCACAATGCTTCTGCTGGTAGCCAGTGGTCTTTGTCCTGCTGGATCTTGCCTGGAGGCAAAGACATTTGCATGCCCAGGGCAAAGTGGCTTGAACAGCGCTGAGAGGGCTCCCCAGTAGGGAGGAAATTGATTTTGTTCAAAGCAGCCCTGGGCTCAGAGAACGGTCACCATCTCTGAGGGAGTTTCAAAGAAGGACATCGGCAGGAGGAATGCAGGATGCTTTAATAGGGAGAAATTTGGGGCTCGGCTTACCCTCCGCCCTGCTCCTTGCCCTGACCACCCAGGTGGCTTGGCATTCTAGCTCTGCTACGCCAGGCTGCCCACTCCTCATCTCTGTTTCCACTGAGCCTGCCAAAAGTCAGACCCCATCAGCTCCTGGCTGGGCACCACAATGTCTCCTCTCCCGTGTCTCTACCTGGGGCACTGCCTGTGCTAATCTAACAGCCTCCGGCACCAGCCAAACATGCAGCATGGTCCATGTCACCACCCAGCTCAGAGCCCTGTGTTGACACAGGCATGGTCAGGTTTGGGGATTGAGTATGGGTCTGGGGGCGGGGGGGACGGTTCAGTGTGGATGTGGAAAGACCAGGTAGCAGAGAGGAGATTGGACCCAGTGAGAGGTGATGGCATCCAGGCAGGTGCACTCCGGTCGGACGGACTCTCATTGGCATGTCCTGCCATGAACCAGATTCAGAACTGCCTCAGCCATGGCCGTCACTCAGAACTGGCTGCCTCCAAGGACAGGAAAGGACTCTCACAAGTGGCCTTGAGACAGGTGAATGGGCAGGGTGCCTCTCCCTTGGCACCAGGTCATGGGAAGGTGACACTTCTTGAGATTTCTAATATTTGTCACGTCTGTCTTATTAGCCTAACAAGGCAAGACCGTGTTTCAAGTTGACTACTAGCGTTTCCCATTGGTCTGCCTACTTCCTCCCTGGGCCTTCTAAAAGCAGGGACTGTTTCAAAATAACCACCTTACAAAGATAGGCATCATTATCTTTATTTCGTATGTGGTGGAAACCAAGGCCCACACAAGGGAATGAGGGGTCCAAGGACACGCACCTGCTAGCAACAGCAGGGGCTCGATGCCAGATCTTCAGACTCCTAACCCAGTGCTCTTTCAGTAAAAGTGCAGGAAGGAGGCACTTGTCACTGCTTCCCAAACTTCATTCACTTCTGGACCACGCTTTCGATTTCTACGCACCATCGTGTACTAATTATTTGCCCGACAGGTGTTTTTTCAAAGCGTTCACATTTTTTTTTTAAATTCAAGTTTATTTTCCAAGGAATGTTTATGTTCGCCATAAGTGGAAGGAATGCCACCCACTGAAGTGAACTGTGAAACAGGAAGGGGGGCAATGTTTATACAAATCCAGCCAGAAACTGTCTCACTGAAGGCTTGCAACTAGGGAATGCTTTCTGGGAAACAGGGATGTATCCTGCATTTGAAGAGGTTTGTTAAAGACCTATTAGCCTGACAAACACTCTTCCAGATGCCATCAGGAGCGCGGGTAGAGACTTGCAGGGGCACTAACTTTCTCCCTGTGGGTCAGTGCTATTTAGCACTGCATCCGTGTGTCGCCCCAAACCATCTGGCTGTAAGTAGACCACATTTGGGGTAACATTGTTTTATGTGTAATTTACGTTTTGGTCCCATGTCTTGGAATAAAAATCATGAGTGGACCACTCATGATCTCCAAAGCAATTCAGGGCAGTTTGGTGTGGGGGTGGGGTGGTGGAGGAAATGGAATCTGGGGAGCCTGCTGGACCCCAGCTCAGCTTGTCTTGAGGCATTTTTGGGGCTCTGATCCTGGCCCCGTCCTGCAGAGGATGGCAGGGATTGGGGCTCCATTGTGGTCACCATAATTTCAGAATGTCATTGTGTTAAAGGTCTCCCTCCAAGAAACGACTCTCAACCTTCTATGGTCACCCCCTTTGGTCCACAAAAAGGAACTGAAATTACCATCAGAGGCACGGGGAGGGCTTAAGGGAGTGTGGGCAAATTAGAGAGTTTTAGACCGAGAGATCAGAGGGCTTGATGCCACTTCATAGGGGGAAAGTTTTCTGTTGGTCCCTTGCTTGCTTTGCATGTGGGCTTAGTCTTGGCGGGTTCCTGACTGGTATAGGTGGCTAAGCTGGAGATGAAGCTGTCTGCTCTTGAGCTGGGCATGTAAAGGCATCGTTTTGGGCAGGCTGAGGGCACCAGGAGGGGCTGCCAGACTCCAGAAGCCACTGCCTCACTGGTTTCCCACACCATGCGTTGCCTGGCTCCACGCCCTGCGGGGTCCTACCTGCCAGAGTCTCAAGGTAAAAAGGGGGGTGAAGGAAGTTGGGGCTGACAAGGCTTCTTGATTTAGGATAAGGTCTCAGCTGGCCCCACCATCTCTGAACTGGGGAGTGGGAGCAGAGAGTGGGGTCCTTGTCCCATCGGGGCTGTTGGGAAAAGTGAGGTGGTTGATTATTTCCATCCACTTGAGGGACATTCAGATCCGTCCAGGTGCCTGGCATGTGAGAGGACTTTATCAGCGCTGAAGAGTTCTAGAGGCCAACTTTCAGGAGGCATGTCGTTAGCTCTCAGCATTGATAGCCTGGCTTGGCCAGCCACAGGCGCTCTCTCCACCAGGTAAACACTGAGGGGTGCCCTTGAAGGACAGACCCCCCCCTACCCCCCCGGGAGAAGCAGGAAAATCAAAGTCGGAGTCAGCTCCTTGGCATAGCTGTTGAGCCCCAACTGGCTGGACAGATGCTCCCCTCTCCCCAGTTTCTAGATTGTGTTTTGGGGAAGAAGTGGGGGCTAGGAGACAGATGGCACCAGCTCTGCAATCAGCAAGGCAGGTTTGAATCCCAGCTGCATTGTTGGCTGGGTGTGAAGTGACACAGAACCTGTCACCAACCTTCTCTGACGCTCTTTGCCTGGGCTGTTAAAAATTCTGACAGGGTCATGATGAGGGATCAAAGTCCAGCACAGAGCCTGGTACATGGTAGGAACGGAATTTCATCAGGGAAGCCTGCTATTACTAGTGCCGCTGTGTTGTGTGTTTCAGAGGGGGCTCAGGGGGGTGAGACGCCTTTCCTCAGACACCGCTGAGGTTTGCCAGCTCTGTTGGATTGAGCCTGTTGGGAGTTTCGATGGGAAGGAGAGGTCAGGAGTCACCTTGACCCACGCCTTCAATTCCAGACAGGAACTCCAAGCGTGGGAAGTGCCCTCCCCAAATTCTCATGGTGGGTGGAGCTGGGGTCCAGAACCTCTGGAGGAGGAAAGGCAGGAGGAGTGTGGGCATCAGGGATGAGGCTGAATTTCCAGCCCGTGAGGGTCCCTGAGGCACTTTCTCTTGCCTCTGGAGGGCATTTGCCTTCCCAGGAGTGAATGGCTCATGGAGCAAGTCTCTGGGTCCGTGTCCCCAGCAAGGGCAGTTCGCCACCTTCATGGCCGGGCTGAGCTGGAGAGACACGGAGGCCAAGCCAAAGCAAGGGAGAGCTGCCTGCAAGTCAGGGTTTGCAGATGGCGAGCCCGCAGCTCCCCCGGAGGGGGGTGGAAGGAGGCTGGCCCTTTCCAGGAGCCGATAGACGTTCCAGCAGTGCCCAGGAGTGTAAGGATGTGACCTTGGCCCTTCCAAGAAAGCACGTGGTGGGTGCTTTGCGCCTGTTTACTCCCCAGCTTGGCCCAAATCCCGGCGCAGAGAGAAAGTGAAAGAGAAAAGGACGGCCCTGGCGGATGAGGTGGGGGGACTGGGCGACCAACCCGCCCCAGTCTCGCAGCAGCCCCACAGCTGGCGGGAACGAGAGGCCACCGGCAGCACGCGAGAGTCGGGGAGCAGCGATAGGTGACCAGGGCTGTGCCCCTGCACCCCGAACGTCGGCCCGGCAATCGAGGCTCAGAGGTTGGCTGCTACTTTCCTGAGGTCACACAGCAAGGCTGGGAGGAGGAGGAAGGGAATGTGCGGCGTGCGGACCCGCGAAATTCCGCGTTTCCAGCATCCGCGGTCTGGAACGCAGGGACTGGGGCACGGACCGGAGCTGGGTCGGGGTGCCCGGCCGCGGGGCCCGGAGAGAGCGCGGGGCAAGGGGAGGCGGGCGGGAGCCGGGCATCTGCAGACACCCTGGGGGCGCAGAAGAAGCGCGCGGAGAGGAGACCAGCGCCGGCGCCAAACCCGGGGCGCACACACCCTCCGCGCCTCCTAGAGTCTGGAGAGGCGAATGGTACGCGCGCGCGCTGAGCGGCACGCAGATGCCTCTATGGGGACCCTGGGCTCGGGCCGCCCTTCTCTGAGCCTCAGTTTTCCAGTTGGATCACAGCACCGCTCTGACTCAGGAGTGCAGGTTTCCGACCCTTGGGTGGGGTGCCTTTTGGGAAGGTTTGTGGGGCGCACGACCTTTAGTGGGCGCCCTGGAGAAATCCTCACCTCTCTCCCCCAGGAGGCAAAACTGAAAAAGGAAAAAGACCTTGATTTGAGGGTCTCAGAATTGCAATTCGGGGAGCACAGAAAAGCGTCTTGCTCCGGTGGGGGAAAACCGGGGGTTTTTATGAGAAAGAAGGAGGGGGGTGATTACATGATTTAGGTAAAGAGCAGAGAACAAGCCTGCTAATTTGGTGCTTCCCCATTGAGCCGTTTCTGTTGATTGCCTTACTATTTTGTTGCTGCTATTAGATGAAACAGTCCCTTGTAGGTATGAACTCTCCTGTCCCCATGCGGTCTGAATGCCAGTTGTTCTGTTGACTTTTTATGAACAACTGCTTGTAAAAACAATTGCCAGTTCAAGAGTTCATTAGAAAGGAAAATGAAATTTTAAAATGGAGTCTCTCATGTCCATGAATTTTATACAATTCCAGGCCTCTCTTTGATAATCTGGGGTGGGGGTGGGGCAGCTTTCTGGGAGGGCTTTGACAGGGCTGACATATCCACCTCACTCTGGGGTCCTGAGCCCCGCCTTCCAAGGAGAGAAACCAAGGAGCCCCAGAAACAGCTGCGGGGGGATCTCTCTGGGGCCCCAGAATGCCAGAGTTGGAACTGCCATGTCTAGCTCCATCTGGGACCCTTAAGGCCCACAGTTCTCTTCTGAGTCCCATGCCCTCCCCCATCAAGGTGACAGAGGATAGGAGACAGATGCCCAGCAGTCCACAGCACCCCACTTGTTATCGCAGCCAGGTGTTCCTAACTTTGGCAAGATGCCTTCCATCTGTGAAGCCCCCCTCCCCACCAACCCAGAAAAGAAATACTCCCAGCCAATCAGAAGGTTAAGGAAACTGGTGCTTCTTGCTCTAGGGCCTGGTGGAGCAGAGGGGGGCGAGGGGGAGACCCCAGAAAGTCCTCACCTTCCAAACCCCAGACTGCCTTAGGTAAGGAGCTGGTCTCCAAGATCCCAGGATGTACAATGGAAAGATCCTCAGAGGGAACTGAGCCAGGGGGTCCCAGGCTTCCTGCACAAGGGAGTCACTTGTTTAGCATGTAGGCTTCTGGGTTCTGCCACCAGGACCCACCCAGGCTAAACCATCTATCTGGGTGATTCCTATGGCAGAGGCCCAGAGGTTATATACATGTATTGAGAGGCATTGAAGTGGTCCAAACCCTGTTGTCTCACCATGTTACAAAACCTCTGGGGACTTCCCCAGGAGGTTTTGTAACCAAGGTCACATAGTCGAGGTTTTGGTAGAGTCAAGATTTGAATCCAAGTCTCTGGAGAGCCCAGTCCAGTGCCTGGGCAGGGGTGTGAGCCTCCACAAATGCAGGGCAGGTCCTGGGTAGTCAGAGTCTTGCTGCTGTACAGCAAAACCTGTCTGACAGCAGGGACCTGGTTTGACCTCTTGAGACCTCAGCCCCTGGTCCCTTGTGAAGAGTAGTTAGGAAATTAGCAAAAGGACTCAACAGCATGGACTGGGGTCAATCCCCGGCAATCAGAGACGTGGCCTGAGGAAGAGGGAGAAGCTTCTGGACTTGGCTTTCAGACTTGCCATCCATCAACCCTGGATAAATGACTTCCCTCTCTGAGGTACATTTATAACATGGCTAAAACGAGAGCACACTGTCTGGGAAGCACTTGGGAAGAATCACCAAAGAATCCACCTGGGCCAGGAGTAAGCATTATAGCCCCTGAAGGGATTGTATGGAAAGATCTGAGGGGAAGTTGTGGGCGGAAGGGAGGCTTCTAGACTTTGTCACATACCTGATGGGTGGTCCACGGACAGTTCTCAAAGACGCGTTCATCGATACCAGGTAGGAGATCCCTACTTTTCTGATTCGTTCTTGAGCCGCCTCCCCCATTTTTGTGTGTAGACATCTTTGACAACACTCATACTGAGTGATGTTTCTTTTTAGCAGAGTAGGGCAGCTGACCTGATTGTAATAACATTGTTTTGTTTTTAGTGGTAAGTGATGCTGGGTTTTTTCCCCCCACGGGAGGGAGTGATAGAAAGTTTCCTTTTTTTTTCTTAATGATAATATAAAATTTACCAAGGTACCCATTTTAAGTATACGATTGAGCTGTAATAAATACATTCCTGCTGTTATACAACCATCCCAGCATCTGTCTCCAGAACTTTCTCATTGCCCCAAACTGAAACTCTGGCCCCATGACACGCGAACTCCCCATTCGGGCCCCCTCCCCCGGCTGCTACCCTTTGATTTTCTGTCTCTGTGGAGTTGACCACTCTAGGTGCCTCGTGTAAGTGGAATTCTATAGTATTTGTCTTTTTGTGACTGGCTTCTTTCATTGAGCATGTTGTTTTTGAGGCCCATCCGTGTTGTAGCAGGTGTCCGTGTTTCTTTCCTTATCATGGCTTAGTAATATCCCAGTGTATGGATAGGCCCTGCTGTGTTTATCCATTCTTCTGTTGATGGACACTTGAGTTGTTTCCACCTTTTGTCTATTACGAAGAGTATGCTATGAACATCTGTGTACCAGTATGCTTTTGACTTCCTGCTTTCAAATCTGGAAGGTTTTCTTTTAACATAAATATATTTATTTCTTTAAAAAGTTAATTCAAGGGACGCCTGGGTGGCTCAGCCATTTAAGCCTCTGCCTTCGGCTCGGGTCACGATCCAGGGTCCTGGGATTGAACCCCAAGTTGGACTCCCTGCTCAGCAAGGAGTCTGTTTCTCCCTCTGCTGCTCCCCCTGCATGCGCTCTCTCTCTCATTCTCTCTCTCTCTCTCTCTGACAAATAAAGAAATATCGTTAAGAAAAAAAAAAGTTAATTCAAGGAAAATGCAAAGGTAAATTATAGAACAGGTGGTATGCAGATCTGACCCCAAAATTGTAAAGGGGGCTGATGAACACCTGAAGTTTGGGAGACTGGACTGGGGAAAAGACCTGGTAGCAATTGTAACAATCCAGAGTGTGGGGCTGGGGGCTCCTCCATCAAGGGCATGGCAGTCGACAGGGACTCCTGGAAGGAGAAGGAGAGAATTGAGGAAGGTGTTCACTCTGGTTCTAGGATTTTCAGCGGGGGAGAAGTGGAAAGGTGGCAGAAATGGAGAGCCTGGAAGGGTCACTTGGGAGAAGGAGAATTGCAGACCTCCCAGAGTTCAAGAAAAGTCACCCCAGCGGGGGGGGGGGGGGCAGTGTTTTCTTGGCAAGTGGAAAGTCAGGCTGCCTTGAAAATAAAACCCATTTGAATTCCCTACAAGGCAGGTGTGTGTGTGAGGGGGCACAAGGGGGTGCTCTTTTAAAAATACAGAATCTCTGGGAGTTGGCCCAGGCTGCTGTGTGTTTAGCGCCCTTTTCAGGCAGTTTTGATTCACAGCCAAGCCTGCCAATGGCTCGTCTCTGCCGTCAGATGCTAGCAGGCAGGGCTGGACCATGATTCATGGCTCAGAGGCTCCAGCACCCAGCAGAGGGCCTGGCACTGGCTTAGGCACCCCATTAGGTCAAGCTGGGGGTCAAGACTGGAGCCGAGGGCCTGGCTTGGCCACAGGGTGCTCATTCCCCTCCCCATCCCAGTACCTGGCTCAGGTTGTCTTCCGGGGAGGGGGCTGGGGTTGGAGGGAACCTGTCGGACTCCTTTCCAGGTCACTCTGATTGCAGCTCGGAATGTTGGGGCATGCAGAGTGAGGGCCACCTGGAGGTGGGAGGGGCCAGGCCGGCCTGAAGGGGACGGGCGCTCTGGACAAACACGGAGCCTACCTCCTCCCCCAGCTGCAGCTCTTACTGCTGGTCTCCTGCCGTCTCATCCTGTCCACCAGGACCCTTACCCCCAGTCACTGGCCGTCTGTGGGCACACACGCCAGTTGAGGTGGTATCATTTGAATCCTAAGTCGCGATGAGGTGAATGTCCTCAGTGGGGGTCCAGACTAGATAGGTGGCTTGCCCCAGCTCTTCAGAGGTGGTCTCTGGTGGGGGAGGGCTTTTGTGGGGTTCTGTGTGGTTGCCAGGCCCCCTGGTAGAAAAACAGAATGAGCTAGTCTCTGGTGAGGTTCCTAGGAAGCAGATTCGGAGTTGAAGATTTGCATGTGGGAGATTTATTGGGGAGAGGTGAGGTGGGGGACACCGCAGGGAGAGGGAAGAGGCAGGATTGGGCAGAGGGAGGATTGGGCTGCCAGCCATAAGTCTCAACAGGGGTTTCAGCCACCCCCACCCGGAGGCCCCACAGAGTGTGCTGAAGCTGGGACAGCCTTTAGGGTTACTGCAAATTAAGGCACCAGACTGGAGCTTTGCACCCCACAGGGACCAGTCATCAGATACGGTGTCCCCTTGGAGAAGGGGTGTGACTTGGAGCTATGCCCAGAGCTGTGAGTTGTGAGCCCCTTGCCCTCCAGCAACTGGTGGATGGGCACCCCAACCTCAGCCCCTTGAGGGGGTTCGTCCGTGTTGTAGCAGGATGCTACATGTAACACATCACACCAGTTAAAATTGTCAAGTCAGAGTATCTGGAGGCTGAGGTCTAC